TCGCCCTTTCATTTCTTTTTCTTCAATTTCTCGAATTTCGGTTTCTCCTACGTTTTTATTGAAAAAATCCTAAACAATATTAATGCATTTTATTTTTTACCTCCAAAAAACCATTCAACTTACAGTAAATAATCTTTTGTTTTCTGATGTATTATGATAATACTGAGAAGCCAAACGCAAGTCAATTTCCATTTGTTTGATATTATTTGTCATCTTTTCTAAACTTTGTCTTTTTTGATGTAATTCAATTTTTATATCATACCTCTTTTTTATTAATTCATCCAAAAATGTATTTAAACGCTTCAATTCATTAATATCAGTTTCAAGTTTAATGTCTATCTGCATAAATATACACAAAAATAATCATATTGTATTTTGAATAGCTGCCTACAACTTAATAATGACAATCATTATGATACATAGATAGAAGAATTGTCAGTTACTTGATCATTCAAATTTTTCATATTTTGTATTTCTAACTCTAATGGTTCAGTGGTTTGTTCTAATTCAATAATATCTTCCTTAAGCATATTTAAATCTTTAACAAATAGTGACATTTGTTGCTTAACAGCTAGAACTTGGGAATCTTTTTGCGGTATAATGTCCTTTGATTGTTTCAGCAATCTTGTCAAAACGAAAATTCTATTATTTTTTTTATCGGCCGCCAGTTTTAATTCTTCCATATCATTTTCAAGGAGTGCCGCTGACTGCCTTAGTTCCTCGATACTTATAGCATACCTAACAGTGTTTATAAATTATAAATTAAATATTATAATTGATATTTAGTGTGCCTATCAACACGTACTAAAACTACATACAAGTGATATTTTATCTTGTCTTCTGCTAAGGTACTCATAATTTTTGAATATAAGTCATTCATATTTTTCAGCTTATTGGTAAATTTATTTTTTATACATAAAACATTTTCATCTACATTATCTTCAGTATAATCCACCAACATTTTAGTGATATTTTTTTCATTGATCAGTTTTTCCTTCGACTAAAAACAAATTGAAATGCAATCATTATTTAAAATTCTTTAACACATGCTATTAATAAAGAGTATACAAGTAATATTTCTTCAATTTTTTCTCTAAGTTGCTTCTCGTAGTTACTTGATGTCTCCTGTAACTCTTGATCTAATGTAGCTTGCTGAGCTTCTAAATTTCTAATTTAACCGTATGATAATAATATTCTAGTTTAATAAATCATAACAATTACTTTTTTAATCCAGAAGTTAATATAAATCCCTTGTTTTCAAGAATTGAAAATTTTTTGTATTTTTCTACTAATTTTGCATTATAGTGTGATTCTAAATTGACTTTACTCTGCTCATTTGTTTCAATTAATTGATTTAACTCAACTTTGAGTTTACTTATCAATTTTTTTTGTTCTTCTTGTTCCTCCTTAAATAACATAGGTATATTAATATTRTACCATATTGAATATAAAGGTTATTACTTCATTTTTTTTTATGGTTTCATAATATTCTGTTATGTTTGCTTTGTTTATATTTTTAATTTCTTCTTCTTTTGCTTTAATAGTTGTATTTACATTAATCGCATTTTCTTTCTCTAATTTATTCACCGCTGTTTCAATTTTCTTGATATTTTCATGCAATTTATCGTACTGTGACAAGTTAACTAATATGTCATCAGTATATACAAGCGGTGTATCAATCTTCCTAGTTTTATTCGCTGTGTTTTTCACTTCCCATATACATATATTCGAATCTTCTGAACAAGAAACTAAAACTGAGCCGTCGGTTCCCAAATACATCTTCATAAATAGTTTGGTACAGATCGATAAACAAAACAATTCTTTAATCACTTTTCAATAATAGCACAATAACAATAATTTATGTTTTTAATATTWATTACATCAATCAGCAGAAAACAATTTTATTATCATAAACAATGAAAGTTTAATGAAAAACTTACGAGTTAACGGGTTATTATGAGTCACATATTTTTAATATAAGTGTCTTGTGTGTTCAAAATATTTTTAATTTTAATAGTTTTAAAATTTTTAATAAGCTAATATATTTTTTAAGGTAAAGTATATTCCAAATATTGAAATATCATACATTGTACTTAATAAAATAGTTTAAAAGACGCCACGCCCGCATTTGTTGTATCMATCTTACATACCCGTAACTTAGCAAATTTACGGTCAGCCGTTTACGACTTATTCCGTTAGCTTAAAAATTAGAAAGAATAGACCTTAGTTATATAGAACCTCAATTTTTAAGAGAGTTATGTGTGTATAATTAAAATTAAATTAAAATTACTCATAACTCACTTCACTGAATTATCGTAAAAACTTCCAACAAACCACAGATATAATGTTCTTACCATCAAGTTTCATAATAGGTCTATTCACTCTTATTTTTAAGGTAACGGAATAAGACTTGAATTTCTGAGCGTAAATTTGCTATTATGCTACAAGTTTGTAAGGCTGAGACTACACATGCTGGTGTGGCATTCTTTTAATAATTATTACTTTACCAAAATTTTCATATTTTTTTATTCCAAATTGTCTTAGACTACCTACTACCGTTTAATTAAAAAAATATTTATATATATATATATATATTATTTTGGATATTATTATATCCAAAGACAACTTTCATACCTAACATACCTTCTTGATGCTATGACTGTGGATTTTGAATTCTTTGTATTCAATTTGAATTCCCATAGGTAATATTACGGTCAATATAACGCCATTTTCGGCTGCTATGAATAAAATCAAATTTGACTTAGAAATAGATACTGCATTCAATGGTGTTCCATAAAAGTTCACTTCACGTTTAACCTTAAAAAAAAGATTCAATAATACAAATTAGACACCTAATAAAAAGCTGTTTTAAATTATTATGACGCMACAATAGAATTTATTGTTATCATTGATCAATCAAAACCTTAAATAACAGAAAAATATGTAATTTAAATTTTAAATTGTTTACTGTCCACTAATTTTTGAGTATATCTACTAATTTTTATAACTTAAAAAGATAATACTGTCTACACTTCGGTTGTGTAAATTCTAACGATATTTAAATTTGAAAATTATTATTTGATAAATAATATTTTATATCACGTTATTTAAATTTAACTTAATCTACGTAGCACAAAATAATACCATAACATTGAATAGACGATAACAACGTACTTTTCATTGACAAAGTGAACTAAAAATTTATATAGGTGCGAGTAGAAAATATTTTGGTTCATTTTAGTGCGTACCTACTACCTATACCAGATATTATTATGGAGATGACACAATTTAGAGTAACGTCTTCATAAACCAAACGTAAATAGAATTAAAAACCTTTCGGTCGTAGACTTCTTTCAGACTGCCGTCCTTGGCAATGACAAATAATTGATTAACATCCTGCGCAACTGCCAAATCCGTATAAGCCGCTCCTGAGTAGGGCGCGATATGCGTGATTACACTTCCGGTTTTTGTGTCAAATGTGCATATAGCACCAAAGAKGTCGTAAGCGACTATGTTCATGTCGTGACTGCTCCAGACCAATTTCTCGATCTAGTAAGATTTAAGTTTGCATCGTATAAATAGTTAATATATTATAGTTACCTACCTATATAGTTGTTATTGGACTTAGTACCTTGAGTTATAACTAAAATAAAGACTTAAGTACCTATTCCAACTTTACTAAGTATGCTCTTATGTGCTCAAACTATTTAAATGTCGTAAAATTAAAACAAAGCCTACATAACTCTTTTTAGCTGAAAATTTTAATGGTTATCTATCATATTGTATTAAAAAAACATCACTATAATWGAAATATAATAACTTATTTTATAATGAATTTTGATGGTATTTGATTTTATTTTCTAACAATTCAAAACGAAACTTGATCAAATTTAAACCAATTAATATGGATTACAATTTAACGCATTTTAACAATCTATTAGTTCTTGTAATTTTTTTACTTTTAAACTTGTTAGTATAATTCATTTCTAGAGCATTAATAGATGTTAGAAATTAAAAAAAA